GGGGAAAAGGGTAACAGCATTTGCATATTCTCTACACACTGCTGTTGGATGGAAAATACAAAATTAGAAATATGAAAGAAATAAGAAAGAAGGGAAAGGAAAAGGATAGAGAAAAGATTCTTAGATTCTGAAGTTCATGAGTTTGACTCTGATGCTCAAGTGTTACTGCATTTAAAATAAATTTTAGTATTCAGTGATGGAGACCTGAGAAGAGATGGATTTATCTCTTTTTTTTTTTTCAAGAGTTACCAGATGGTACATGCTCCTCAAAGCCCTCTCTGTGGAGCAAGAGCACACTCCAGGATCATGCTGCCTTCCTCATAATGCTTGGTATCTTTAGTGGCAAACCAACAGGTCTATCCCCATTTGCTACTGCAGTTTTGCAGCTTACATCTCAAATTGGTGTGGCAGCTAGGGAGCATGACCCGATCTTGAACCTCGCTCTACCACAGGTTGACTACCTTGCTAAAAATAAGCGCTGTACCAGTGATGTCTGTGAATCAAAGGGAGATGAGTTCTGAACAGTTGGTCCAGGTCAGATCAGAGTTTACACAAGAAAACAGACAGGTACCACTGATATGATCAAGGAAAATGCTGCCCATTTTGATAGGTGAAGTTCTAAAAGCCCTGAGCAGCAGTGAGATGCTCACTACCTGTAGCACTTTGCTTCTCAGCTGGAATGAAACACCTTGAAGTATTTTTATACTTGAGGAAATCAAATAGCAAACACACTTTAGACTGTATTTTATCCATTCTTGTGTATTATTGTTTTAAAAACTTACTATGTCACATATTTTACTTACTCTTTCCTTAGGTAGAGGTTAGAAATGGATAGGAGGAATAGGGCATTGCTAGCACTTTCCAGGCCATTTTTTATGAAGGAATATGGTAGTACCCGGCAAGTAGATTTCTGGTGACTTCCTGCCAGGAGTTTGCTTAGTCTGATCTGTGGGAAAGGGAAAACCATTGGACATGGATAGCTAATAGATTTCAGATTCTATGCAAGAGAAAAATGTACTTTTAAAAAATATAAAAGATCTTCTTGGATGCATTAGAAAAAACCTAAGAGCACTTTAGCTTAATTTTTTTCCATCTGCAAATGATTGAATGGAAACGGAAACATGAGTGATAGAAAAAAGTGAAATGTTTAGAAAAAGCTAAAAAAAAAAAAGAATTTGTATTAATATAAAATGAAGGTCCTACCTATACAAGAATAGATGAATTAGGTGTTTGGTCTAACCATTCACTAAGTCAACAAAAATTTGTGCAGGTTATGATGAATAAGACATAGTCCTAGATCTGTTAAGTATTGGAATTGAAAAACGAACCAAACATTCAAGAGTAGTAGTGTTTTTTCTGAACTGGTTCTGGAAGAGTGAGAAGGAGTTTAGCTAGATAAGGAGAAAGTAGAAAATGACAAATAGGATACTGGAGTTGGGGACAATGCAGAAATAAGAGAAAGAATGATATATTAACGTAAAGAAAGATGTCCAGCTGTCCTGAAAAGTTAATTATGTTTAGTGAAATGAGTGCATATTCTAATACATGGAAATGTGAAAAACATAAAGCAAGTTAGGTATTACAGTGATTCTGGAATAGAAATCATGAAAAATTAGAAAGAAATAGAATACAAATATGCAAAAAGTTAGAAAAGTACCATCTGGATGATTGAGAAATTTGGAGAAAAATGGGAAAAAATTAGCATGTGTGTTTTATTTTAGTTATTTTAAAAAGCTATTTGTACATAAACAAATTCTCCTTCACAACTGAGCCTGACTTCAAAGGTGAGGATGTTGCCAAAGAAATGACACTACTGAGACAGGTATTATGTATGGCTCAGAACAGGACATATGCTGAATTGGAGTAGGAGTGATGGAAGGGTTTGTGGCATGGAGATGGAAGATGTGGAATTAAGCGAAATAATTTAAAGAAAGGCAAAGGCTATCTAAAACAAGTATAAATATAGGTAATAGAATAAACAAGGTCAAGGACTGTAGGCCAAGGATAAACAAGCAAGAAAAATTTCAAAAGAACAAAGCACGTACAACCTCCTGGTAGAACTATGGTAGTTAACAACTGTAATTTGAAGATATACATACATATGTATGCTCACATATATAAATAAAATTGACTGGACAACAGTGTAAAGTATTTCTGGTAATTGTAAAGAAAAAAGATAAACCTTACAGTCAAGGGGAAAATTTGGGTTAGAACTTTGTGAAGTAAATTCATCATTAATTATGCATGTCTTCACTTTAGATTGTTTGTATTATCTTAAGTTGTATTTGGAAAGTAAACCTGAGTTAACATTACATTGCACAGATCTGAAAAATTAAAACTACAATATATTTATGAACAACATCAAAAAACACAAAATTGCTACCTGAAAAACTAAGAGGAAAGTCATTTATATGAGACAATTACATTTTTAGGACATAAAAGAGAAGTATCAGCATTGTTTTTTATGTTTTTTGTTTTTTTTGGTACTGGGGATCAAATTTGGGCCCTTGCACTTGCGAGGCATGCAGCAGAACCATTGAGCTAAATCCCTGGCTCCAGCATTGGTTTTGGAGTAAGAGCTGAGTTTGAATCACTGTAGTACTTGTACAGGACACAAATGTTTTCTGAGTCTCTTTTCCATGCAATTCCCTTTACTGAAGTAATGACTACTCAGAATTGTGGTAAATCAGTAGAATAATTCCAACCCAAAAAGATTTTTAAATGGCTAGCTTCCCTTTTCATTACACATGCACACACAAACACACACCCATTTCATATTTAGTTCATATTTTAAAAGTTCAGACAAAGGTTTTATATGAAATACTTTTTGTGTAATAATTTGAAAACAATTTCTAGGGTAAAATTTCAGAACAATAAAATATTGGGTTGTGCTTCAACTTTTTGCTTTATCATGGAATTGACTACAAAATGTATCATGTACATAAAGCAGATGCTAGCTTTAAATGCTTTTATATTTATGAAATCTAAATTCTTTATTTTTATATGTCAAATGGTTAATTTTCCTATAAAACGCATATTTTTGTTTTTCCACTTATTTCACAAAATCAAGTACTTCTGGAACTGTCATGATAGTGATACTGTGCTACCCAATCAATGTACCACTGAGCTACAACCCCTAGCTCATCAATACATCTTTTGAAGGTCAATACCTTTATTTAACAGTGTATGAATAATACAAATAAATATGTGTAATAAAATTGTAATGGTTCAGTGGGTGTTATTTTCCCAACATGTAACCAATTTGCACATATTTTATGCTAAAATACATAATTCAATATTTAAATACAATAAATATTTTCCAACTGAGAGAAAAAAGTCAATTATATTAAAAAATTCTGAGACTACAGTGCACTTTGATAGATTATTATCCAAATGATAATCTGGCTAATTAAATGAGTTTTTAAAACTGCAGCTCCAGCTAGGTGTGGTGGTATACACCAGTGATATCAGCACTCTGGGAAGTGTGAGGATTGCAAGTTCAAGCAATAAGTAGGATTGCAAGCTCAAACCCAGCCTGGACAATTCAGCAATTTAATAAGACTGTGTGTCAAAATGAACAAACAAACAAGCAAACAAACAAATGAACAAAAATGATCTGGGGATGTAGCTCAATGCAAAGGCCTTGGGCTCAATCTCCAGTAACCCCCTCCCCCATCAAACATGTAAAAATACTTCTTTATAATTATTATAAAAGAAAGTTGGAAACATTTTCATTAGTTTTGGTGTTTTTTTTTCTCATTGAGTTTATTGGTACATTTTAGGTATACAGTATAGTTACATTCATCATTGGGACCTTGTACTTTTACGTGACAGGTCTTGGTTCTCATTTTTTCCCCATACCCCTGCCCTCCCTTCACCCTGTCCTCCCTTCCCTACTTATAAAAACTTTATTTCCATTTTTTCATTTATGGTGTTTTTTTTTCATAATAAGAACTACCAGTTTTTTGCAACTATGAGGTGCTAGACACAAGCCAGCCTGTACACGTGCCTTCTTTCTAATGTTAGCCATAGTCTTATTGTCACAGAGACTGATTGTTGCCCTCCCAACACATATTCTCTTCTTCACTGCTTGAGTTTTGTTGGAGGTGGCAATATTCCCAGAGAAAAACTACATTTCTTGGCAAGAACAAGGGGAAAAAATGAGAACCAAGACTTGTCATGTAAAGGTACAAGATCCCAACAATGAAAATAACTGTACTGTATCCCAAAAATGTACCAATAAACTCAATTAAAGCTGAAAAACAACAACAACAAAAAAAACCCCTACATTTCTCAGCCTTCTTTGCAGACAGAAGCATCCAAATGTACCAAAACTCAATTAAAGCTGAAAAACAACAACAACAAAAAAAACCCCTACATTTCTCAGCCTTCTTTGCAGACAGAAGCATCCATGAGATATAGTTGGTGATCAGACCTTAGAGGAAATTATTAGCAGTCCAGAAAAATCTTTTTAAAAAAGGTTAACTCAGCTGGCATACTTTTCTTCTTCCCATTTCTTCTAGCAAAGAAAACTTACAATACTTGAGGTGAATTAGCTAAATTATGAGTTGACAAGCACAAGTGGAGAATGGCTGAATAAGAAAACAAAGTTTAGTGTTCCCGAAATTATGAAATGGGGAGTGGACACAGAGGCTTGGATGGCCTACTTCCAACACATGTGATAAAAATAACCCTTGATTTTCAAGTTTTTAATTTAGTTACCCTCAACTGATTCATCTGCAAAAAAATTGACCTTTAAATCAATGTCTGACAAGAGCCAGCCCAGCATGAAGAAGATAGAATTTGATATGTAGGTGTGAGAGTAGTTAATGATCTGATTTTTAAAGTGCTTTGAGGTCTTTAGATTTAAAGTTTTATTATATACAATGGGAAAGATACAATGAAAAGGGCTAAACAGAGCTGGGCATGGTGGCACACACCTATAATCCTAGCTGAGGCAAGAAGATCTCTGTGAGTTCAAGGACAGTCCAGGCTACATGGTGAATTCAAGGCCAGCTGGAAATACATAGAAAGACCCTGTCTCAAAAACAAACAAACAAAAAAATAAATAAGAAAATGGCAAATAAACATTCCCTTAATTTTATTTCTATATATTTTGTTTTGTTTTGTTTTGGTACCAAGGATCGAACTCAAGGATCTTATGCTTGCGAGGCAGATGCGGCGCCACTCAGCTAAATCCCCAGCACAATAAAAAAAAAATTTTTTTTTCCATTATGGGGACTGAACTCAGGACTTTGCACTTGTAAGGCAGGAGCGGTTCCACTGTGCTAAATCTCTGGCCTTCTGTATATTTTTATATTGAGAAAGTTTCTTTAATCCAAGTCCTGAGTTTACTTTTTTATGTGTGGTGCTGGGGATGGAACCCATTGCATATTAGACAAGTAATCTAGCACTGAGCTACAATCTCAACCCTACATCATTAATACAAAAGAAATATAGTAGATTATTTTTTAAGATTATTTACAGAAAGAACTATTAAAATGCAGAACACACCAGCCTATAATAAAGCAGCAATGACAATAACCTTGCCCCTAAAGGCATAATTCCTGGTAATCTTATGAATACTACTGAGCCATAAATGTTCATGATACAAGACTTAGTATGTAAATTCTAAGACTTACAGGAATAGTCTAAGCAGACAGAAATACTCTGCATTGATGTTTCACATGAAAGAGCTGAATGTGGACTCTTACTTTATTTTTTCTTTTCTAGAAATATTGTGTTGTGCTTTTATATAAAGATCAATCAAAAGTGCACTACAAGGCCAGGGATTTAGTTCAGTGGCATCATGCCTACCTCGAAAGTGCAAGGTCCTGAGTTCAATCCCTGGTACCAAAAAAAAAAAGAAAAAAGAAAAAAGAAGTGCACTAGAAATACATGTATGATCATAATAAAATTCTCTTATCCAACACTGGTAGGTGACTGATAGCTGGAGAAAGTCAAATAAAACAGATATTAAAACATGGCACATGGCTGGGGGAATAGTTCAGTGGTAAAGTATGTGCTTAGCATGGTCAAGAGTTCTATCCCCAAAACAAAACATACACAATACAATCATACATATCTTACATATCTTACTTATCTTAAGGTTTTAATTTTAACTCCAAATATTTTTTCACTTGCCAGAATACATGTAGACTTTCACTTTCTCCAGGCATTTACAATTGTGTTATAACTAATTTGACAGTAATTTCTATAATGATTTTTGTTTTACATTTCATTGGTTTATATAATCCTTAAATATAGTAATATAATTTGAACAAGTTTAACTGGTATAAACAGGTTTGGGATTGGAAGAGACTCCATGGGTGTGAAAGTTGTAGTGGGAACAGAGGGATACTTCTGTACACATACCATGCTTTGGGCATGTGCTGGAGGGAACAAGGAGAGCATCAGTTAATCTGGCAAATTAAGTGGATATCATGAGAGCTCCTATGTGCCCATCATCATTGATAGATATTACATAATAAGATGTTAAGCTATTTCATTAATTCTTTAGAACATGAGTCTTTAAAGATTAGTGAGCAGAAAATTAAACTGATACTCTCCATAAAATCCTTTTTATTTCTTCCTATCTTGTTCTTATGAGAAAATTCTTGCCATAGAAAATATTTTGCTGATAGTCGCCCTCTCATTTTCCTTTGTACAGGAGGGTCTTGGGTCCCAGTTGCTTTGATGATAAAGGGGATTGGACCTCTGTCCCTAAACCCCAATTCTCATGGATGTCCCTGTCAAAATTATGCAGCACTGTGCATTATGATTCAGAACCACATTCTAGTTCTATTGTTTTACAACCTTGGCCTATATTAATTAATATAAATTAGTCTTCCTTTTCCGAAAAAATAAAAGCACTTAGCTTTAGCACTTTAGTTTGTTAAATTGTATGACCACAGTGAAGCCTAGCACAAATAAACAGTGAAATGTTTTCTTTCTTTCCCTTTCCTTGGTGCCAATGTTTGGTCTTTGCCTGTTACTTCTTGTCATGTGCCTGTCCCAGACCTCTGAACACTCACAGACCCCTTCAGTCTTTTAACAGTTGACCACTCACCTCCTGGCATCTCTGTCCATCAGGAGCTCAGATGATAATGCTTGCTTTACCATTTCCTAGTAGCCATCACAGGGATTTCTGTGGAGCACTTAGTTGGCCTATGGAGTACTTAGTTTGACTCATCAGCTTGGGCAGTCATTCATTCACTTCCCATAGTTCCATCTGCATTTATCCTCTTGAGCTCTGAATTTGTCATTCAATATACATTAAGCATTTATTATATGCACTATATACTATACACACTGGGTGGAAGAGACACACACACACATGCACACACATGTATACACACATGAATGCAGACAATTTGTGGTCCAGTCAAATTTGCACATAAAATTAACCATCATACTAGGAATTGTGCTAGGTGCTTTGCTCATATTCTTAACATTATGTCTTGCATACAGCTACCTGTACAAGCTCAGTTAGATTTTGTCATCTTCTCTTATTGCCTTCATTTAAAACTTTTAAAATCCTTTCATGGAAAGTAAATATCCTCCATCAAAACTCCACTGATACTAAGATAAATCTACAGACATGTCCTAAACAAAATTGTTGTCTAAAGATATATCTATTAATAGGTAATATAGCTCAATGCAATTAATATCATAGGAGTCAAAATATATCTGTGTTCCTACAAAAAACAAACTCAGATCTACCTTTGGCTCATCCTTTACCTATTAAAAAAAAAACAACTTGTTTTCATGCCTATTTATTCCAATCAGCCCAATGTCTTGGGGGGTTGTTCTGGTACTCACACAATGTCTGATCTCAGAGAAGTCAAGTCTTCTACCATAGCCTGATGTTCCCACCTGTGCTGTTGATCATGTCTTCTACTCCTTAGCCCTGCCATATCCACTGTACCTTTCTTAGAATTTCAGTTTTCCCTGCTTTTTCTCTACGTAAAGATATTCTGTGGTGGTATTTCCCTTTGACTTAAAAAAAGGTTAATTTTGAATAGGAAATGTGTGTGTGTGAAACCAGGGGAGGGAAGGTTGGCTCAGCGGGTGACGGGGGGAAATGATCAAAGTATATTATATGCAAGTACAAATTTGCCAAAATGAAATTGATTAATCTATATAACCAATAAAAAGTGAAGAAACAAATATATATGCTGTCTTTTATCATTTGAGTTTTCATTCCATTCCCTTTTGTTTTGGTACAAAAAGTTATATTCTCTGCCTTTAATCATTCACTAAAATTTTTGATGATCATTATTTCTTCTGCCTCTATATTCCACTAAAAATAGCTTTATCAATGTCAACATCAGCTATGTCAATCTAATGACTTTAGTTCAATCTTCACTTTACTTAATGCTTTGGCAACTTAAAAAAATACTACATGCTTTTCTGAAATACTGTTTGCTTTTGCAAGTCAGATTCCTGACTCTCTACCTCCTTCTCTGCTAACTTTAAAAATTCTTTTTTTGGGCTAAGTGGTCCTGAGTTCGATCTCCGGCACACCCCCAGCCCCCAAATTTTTCTTTCTTGTCCTGTCTCCTTAGGTAAATGTTCTTCATTGTATTCTGAACTTCAAAAAAATTTACCAAATTCCACTCTACATTTACTTCTATACTATAAATTTAAAAGGAAGGTATTTACCTTACCTTTGGTAATTGGTATCTGTCCTGCTTAAAATATATGAATATATGCATGCAAAATTTAAGCAGACTAAAGTAATGTGCAATGCTACTTAAAATTCTGGCTAAAATAATCTCCCTAAAAACTTTTATAAATTGTTTTCCACACAGAATACTGGAAATATTAATTAACAACTTTTCAGGTGAACAAATTGGCTATATATATAAAATGGCCTTTAAAGCACATCTCGTATCTTCCTCCTCTAGAAATTTATCCTACGGAGCAAATTAGAAATGCTTGAAATAATCCCTGACTCCTTTTTCTCATACTGCATATCCTAGCCAATGAAAATATGTGTCTCCCCAATTTTACTCTTAATCTCGTTGTCCAAAATCACCATCATTGCCCATCTGGATTACAGCAATAGCCTCCTGACTGTTCTCCTTGTTTCTACTCTTCTTTCTGCAATCTACTGTCAGAATAGCCAAAATGGTCACACAACTCTCTGTTCGACTCCCTCCAAAGGCTTCCCATGTCAGCATTACAGGGATTCCACTCATTACCAGCAAGGTTCAACATGAAGTGGCTCTACCCATTATTTGTTGGACTTCACCTCATACAACTTTCCATCCCCACTCTGCTTCAGGCACTCTGGCCTCCTTGCAGCTCCTCACATATGTGAGATCCTCTCCAGACTCGGAGTCTTTACTGGCTTTTCTCTCTTTGGGATATTTCCCTCCAACATCTACCTGGCTTGCTGCTTCACTGCCTTCAGGTGTTTACTCAAATGACAGTTTCTCAATGAGTTCTTTCTTGACAATCCTATTGAAAAATACAGTCCCCAATAATTGACAATGTGAAATAGGAAGAAAAGGGCTAAAGGTGTAGGGGAAGTGGGAAGGGTAGGGGGAAAAAAAAGGGAAAAGAAAAAAAAATGAGAAAATGGAAATAAAGTATTTGTAAATAGGGAAGGGAGGAGGGGGTGAAGGGAGGGCAGGGATAAGGGGAAAAATGAGAACCAAGTCCTGTCATGTAAAGGTACAAGATCCCAATGATGAATGTAACTGTACTGTATACCTAAAATGTACCAATAAACTCAATGAGAAACAAACAATCAAACAAACAAACAAAAAAACAATCCCCAGGCTACCACCTTAACGCTATTTCCCATTCCTGGTTTATACCTTTCTGGAGCACTTATCTAACATAATATCTTATATCTCGTCTCTTGTTCTCCATGATGACTAAGATTTTGGATTGTGTGTTCATTTATGCACAAGGTATGATTAAAAAAAAACACAGCAAATGTTTAAATTTTAAAATATTTACTGTGGTAAAAGAAATATTGCCCATAATCCCCCTTAAAGTACTTCCTTTAGCTTTGAGCACACTTATCTCATTTTTCCTGCTTCTTTCTGATGCAGCTTTGGAAGTCCGCTTCATGTCTTTTACGAGATGTGATTTAAAAATGCAGTGAATGCTGCTGCTGAGCGCAATCTAATGGAAAGGGCAAGTTTGTGAAGACGTTATGGTATGTCTTCAATCACCTTTTTCACCAGGTCTAGCACTATGTTGCTTCTGGCTTTTCCTCAAAGTCAAAATGACCACAAAAGGTAAACATTTTGAATTGTTTTAGCACACTGAAACAGCCACAACAGTACAACTCAAGACAGTCACGAAGAGGACTTCCCGAACTGTTTGAGAGAGGCGAGAATGATGACACAGCTGTTTGAATTGAATGGGAATATTTTGAGGGAGATTAATGAAAATGAATATGTCTTTTACTGTAATAAAATTTAACTGAAATAATTACTATATTTTTAATCACACCTTGTACCTCCAACATCCAGAGCAGTAGTGTTCAAAAATTAGACGTTGCATTATTACAAAAATTTCTGTATAGTGCTGTTTTATGCTTCATTATTTATAAAAGTAAAGACAATCTAAAAATAATCAAAATTTGCAATCAGAGGAAAATCAACCACGACATAGCCATGAAATGGAATAGTATGCTTTTTGAAAAGTTGCATTTTAAAAACTATTTAATGATAGGAAAAATGGAACAAAGTAGGATATGAGAATATCTAGTAAGATCCACATTTTATTTACAATATAAAGAAGGGGATATACTGTAAAGCTCCATCAGTGGGTATCTCTGGTAGTGAGATTAAAACTGACTTTTGCATTTCTCTGGTAACATTTTTGTACTTTAAGAACTTTATTATTATTATTATTATTTTTTTTTGCAGAGGAATGAATCCAGGGCCTTGTGAAACAGGCAAATACTCTATCACTGAGCTACATCTTAGCCCAGTAGTAATCTTTACTTTTATGTTAAAAAATATAGAAAACTATATAGTTATGGAGGAAAAAATTTCCTTATTCAGTTGTCTAGTCTGAATGGATTTATCATCTAAATTAGAGATAAAATTTGCATATTTTGGCACTATATTCTGCTAGTATTATATGTCTTTATTTCCTCTCTTAGGCTATATACTTTCTGAAGGCAGAATCCTTCAGTCATATTATTTATGACTTTTAGAGCCTACACAGCCATTCTTTATTTTCAATAATTTTAAACATTTTACTGGTGTTACTTAGGCAAACCATCAAGTTACATAATTTTCCTATAATGATCTAATGTCCCTCATGACCATCTTATGTTAGAATGATGACTAAAGTATAAGAATTTTTAGATTTTGGTTTATCTCCCTATTGCCCTTATTTATACCTATTTTATTAGCTGTTAGTAGGTCATATTAATTTTTTTTTGGAGACAGGGTCTCACCATGTGGTTCAGGCTGGCCTTATGCTATATAGTCCAGCCGGCCTTGCACTTGCAGTGATTCTCCTGCCTCAGCCTCCCAAATGCTGGGATTATAGGTATGTACCACCATGCCCGCCCAGCCTTGCAACTTTTGATTCTGGAGTAAAGCTGGAAGTGCTATGTGGCAACAAAAATAACTAATGATACAATTATATAGTCCAGGCTAGCCTCAAACTCAGTGATCCTCCTGGCTTAGCCTCCCAAGAGCTGGGATTACAGGCATGTGCCACCATGCCAGCCTGGTGAAGCAGTTTTGAAGCTTTCTTAGCTTTATTGGCTAGGTGGTTGCCACATATTATACAAAGTAGGTTTGGAAAATGTGAATTACCTGTTGCAATAAACCTGTACCTTAAGAAGGACTCTTTGTATTTTCTTTTAAATAGTTTTCTTTTTGTGTGCAGTCTTAGAGTCTTCTACAATGTCATCATTTCATGTTTTCCCTTTTTCAAAAAGCTCTGCAATGATGTTTATTTTATTCATTTTGGCTAGGGTTAGTTTGTGGGCTTACCAAAACTGTGATGAAGACGAGTGCATAATGAGGAAAGAATTACAGATGGAAGAAGTAAGTAAGAAATAAGGAAGGCCACATGTGGACTAAAGTGTGTCAGACTCTGATTTAAAGCCAGACACCAGACAAATGCAGTCATATAACTGAAATACATCAACTTACTTGCCATTATATAGCCTGCCACCAGATGAAGCTTAATTGTCATTTGCCACTAACTGATTAGGTTTTGATCTGAGTCTGCAAGCAACTGATTTATGATGGTCTCTGTGCAGTC